TGTCAAAAACGAACATATGCCAACTAGCGTTAATAGGTCTTAATATGTAAACAACGTGATTGCATCTTTGAGAGGTATTTAGAAGTAGAAGTTCAAAGTAAGGATAGGATATATGGATGAACAACTTCTTTGTTACATTTAGTAGCGACGTTTCGGTGTAGGTTCTAACATCGTTAGGGGTCACGGGTGGCCCAGTCGTCTAAGGCGCCGCGATTCGCTGTGCAGAGGTGCGTCCCTTGTGCGCGCCAGAAACCTATGGTTGTGGGTTCGAATCCCGGTTCGCCCCGATTAAGTTTCTAGTTTTGTCATCACCATACCCGTGATCGTGGGTTTCACCGAAGTGGTAAACGTCTGAGACCTGCATCACTTCGGGCTTTCCTCCCACATTAAGCTGACACGCCGTGATGTAACTGGAATACTGTTAACTACGGCGTTTAACCCAACTCACTCACTCACTCTAACATCGTGATTAAGCAAGTGATGTACAGATGAATGAGAGGCATTTATACAAGTATGAGGTAGAGTTTATACATTGGAATAGATTGGGTGTGGTTGCAGTGGAGTGAGAATCCTGTAATTTACACAAGCTGAGTAAAAGAATGTCAGTAACATAAATAAGAGGATAAAGGGAGGAACATGAACCCGGAGATTGTGTCTGATTGGAATCTTTGATGAGTTGATGGTATGCAGGAGGGTCCGGGTATCACTTGACAATTCATCTTTCAAACTTTAGTTCTGTGAGGGGCCTGAAACATGAAAAGCTTGAAAGCTCTACACCGCTTCCTACTTCTCACTTTCGAAATTATTTGTTTCAAATGGAAAAATGAGAGCTCTTTCTTCCGTACATCGCGTCTCACTTCCCACGTCAGTAAACACATTTCAGGAAACAGAAACCTCAAACGTTCGAATTTTCTTCCTTATATTACATAGTTTGGAAATCAAAGATTACGGACGCGTTTGTTTCGCATGTTTACTCTCGTCTATTAAAATGAGAAAGACGAGGGTTTACGACATACATTCTTGTTTACGACAGGACCTTTGTTCTTAACTGGTTCTGCTAGTGGGACGCACAGTCAGATAAGCGCTTTTTTTCAACATACCGGCGTGTAGAGCTTTCAAGCTTTCCTTTAAAAAATATTGTAATAGCCTTCATCACGGTTGATGATGGTTGTCACGGATATGGTCTGATAAGTCTGATTTTCGCCTGTGTAGGCACGTCCACTGTATGTGGTACACTGTTCTTGATGGTTCTTGCTGTTGGCTGGATGGTGGTTTTCCTGTGGTTTTGATGATGTTTTGAAGAACGTTACTTCTTTTGAATACTACATCAATGTTGGCCTGTTTCTTTAAGAGTCTCTTGATTTGACAGTTCCAAAGTAGGGTAGCTGATGACAGAGCACCGAAACAACCACCACGAAAACCCAGAAATCTCCCCTCCACAATCTGCACACTTCAAAGGTGTGTCTTACAGATATGCCGAAGAAGAAAGAAATGCATTTGTTCTCATGTTTTCACACTTTATAGTATCTAAATCAAAACAAATAATCTACTAAAATATAGTTATTTACTTTACAGAAGTATTGTTTGGTATATACATTCCAAAATATAAATTTATCATGTATATTTAGGTTGTGGGACATGTTCATACGAAATATGTACTATAATATGTTCCTCCATGCAGCCATATAAGTTTGTGTGGGTGACCCTTATATCTGAAAACGTTAACTTTTGAATGTCATTACCTACAACTGTGTGAAGTCACACGCCTTTAACACACAGCCTGAATGCACGAGTAATGACGTAATACATTGAGCACTTCGGAATGCATTTGTCATTTTCACGGCGTTACAAGCCGAATAAATTCGGAATGTTTTACAAATTGCAGCGCCGTCTGGCGTTCTTAATTGTCAACGACGTCCTTTTCCAGTTTAGAGATCCTTTTGTGCACTGACGTTAGTACACATTGTTCTTTTCTTTGTATTTTGAATTCACTATTTTTTATGAAATAATGACCTTTATTTGTAACATTGTTTCTTTATTCGTAACATTTGACTATTATTGCGTACTTTTGTCCTATAGTCCAACTTTGTAACCGCCTCTGTGGTCTAATGGTAGAGCGTCCGCCCGGAGAGCGGAAAGTCCAGGGTTCGATCCCCGGCCGCATCATACCAAAAGACGTTAAAAGATGGTACTTGTTGTTACCCTGTCTGGCGCTCGGCATTAAAGGGCTAAAACAAGGACTGGTCGGCTCGGAGTCAGTATACTGTGTCTGAGTGGGGTATTCATGTTAAACTGCGGCATGGTATCTCAGTGTGCTAGCACAATAAATCGGCATCAGTCCGGACTAGTACAAGCAGCCACACACACACACACACGTACATGCACGTCGCTATATAAGTGCAATAATCTTGGACGCGACGTTAAACCCCATTTCACCTCATCACCTCAACTTTGTATGTTTGACCGGATGGCCGCCCATACAGGTCGTCTTAAGTCTCGCATGTACCCTGAGTAATTTAAGGTAATGAAGTAGAGTATTTGTGTCAGCTAACTGTGTGCCATCTGAATACGAGAGACCAGGCCATAGTTATGCAGTCTGTAGACGTTTGATCCTGAGTGAAATCCACTAGCACGGGGATGGTGCTGACAAACCAAGGCGAACCCACGGTCAGCGGATCCTTGTACCACCAATGTACGTAACTTTGCTACTCTTGGCCCTAATATTTAGCCGGATAAAGGAATATCAGCAATAATTTATTGAAAAAATGTAATTTCTGCACCGTGTTGATAACAAGCAGCCTATAGGAGTGCATCAGTTGTTCTACGACTTGCGATTCACACAAACCATTCAATATAATTATGTTCATGGTATGTAATCGAGCAGTCTAGGTGTGCCTTCTGTAAAACAAACCAAAAAACAAACGTTCAGATTTATGGCCTTTGGTCTGGGCGCAAGCTCACATTCTGCAGAAAGCAATTGGGAGACAGGTTTCCTAAACATGTGAAACAATACATGCATCTTCATTAAATGCTTTTCATACGTTGACTGCAGGATGTTAACGCTCTGACTTGGATAATTACATAAGTTGTCGTTTCGTGGTAACGATCGCTGAATTTCTATATTGTTTTATTCATCTTATCCATCAGACTATTCTTGATTCACAGCTACAAGCGTGTAGCATATGGTTCTACAGACATCATTACGGCGAGAATAAATCCAGCTTATGTCTGTAACATCCCCTCTTTTTACAACATGGTGACACATCAAACACGTTCAGGCTGCTCACGAGAACACAGCTTCTCAGTATTGTCATCACGATGATGTCCTGACTCATCACGTAAGGTAACCGAATCAACATTTGTTTTAGAACGGCTGAAGCTGAGACACTCCTCTTAACTGCGTGGCTTGCACCATGATGCGTCACTGCTGATGGAGATATAGCGAACGCTTCTAACGAAAGCCGGCGAACTTGTGAGCTAATTTGTCATTCCATGCTTCTCAGATATCCTTAACTGCAGTGGGAGGGGTTGTCCAGTTTGTCTGGCAAACAGTAGGAGGGAGTGGCCAGTTTGTCTGACAAACATTAGGAGGGGGTGTCCAGTTTGTCTGACAAACAGTAGGAGGGAGTGTCCAGTTTGTCGTCTGACAACAGTAGGAGGGAGTGTCCAGTTCGTCTGACAAACAGTAGGCGTGAGTGTCCAGTTTGTCTGAAGAACAGTGGGAGGGAGTGTACAGTTTGTCTGACAAACAGTAGGACGGAGTGGCCAGTTTGACTGAAGAACAGTGGGAGGGAGTGTCCAGTTTGTCTGACAAACAGTAGGAGGGAGTGGCCAGTTTGTCTGACAAACAGTAGGGGGGAGTAGCCAGTTTGTCTGACAAACAGTAGGAGGGTGCGGCCAGTTTGTCTGACAAACAGTAGGAGGGTGCGGCCAGTTTGTCTGACAAACAGTAGGACGGAGTGGCCAGTTTGTTTGACAAACAGTAGGACGGAGTGGCCAGTTTGTTTGACAAACAGTAGGACGGAGTGGCCAGTTTGTTTGACAAACAGTAGGAAGGAGTGACCAGTTTGTCTGACAAACAGTAGGAAGGAGTGGCCAGTTTGTCTGACAAACAGTGGGAGGGAGTGGCCAGTTTGTCTGACAAACAGTAGGAGGGAGTGGCCAGTTTGTCTGACAAACAGTAGGACGGAGTGGCCAGTTTGTCTGACAAACAGTAGGAGGGAATGGCCAGTTTGTCTGACAAACAGTAGGAGGGAGTGGCCAGTTTGTCTGACAAACAGTAGGACGGAGTGGCCAGTTTGTCTGACAAACAGTAGGACGGAGTAGCCAGTTTGTCTGACAAACAGTAGGACGGAGTAGCCAGTTTGTCTGACAAACAGTAGGCCGAGTAGCCAGTTTGTCTAGGAAACAGTAGGAGGGTGCGGCCAGTTTGTCTGTCAAACAGTAGGAGGGAGTGGCCAGTTTGTCTGACAAACAGTAGGAGTGACCAGGAGTGGCCAGTTTGTTTGACAAACAGTGGGAGGAGCGTCCAGTTTGTCTGACATACAGTGGGAGGAGCGTCCAGTTTGTCTGAAGAACAGTAGGGAGGAGTGTCCAGTTTGTTTGACAAACAGTAGGAAGGAGTGGCCAGTTTGTTTGACAAACAGTAGGAGGAAGTGTCCAGTTTGTCTGACAAACAGTGGGAGGAGCGTCCAGTTTGTCTGAAGAACAGTAGGGAGGAGTGTCCAGTTTGTTTGAAGAACAGTGGGAGGGAGTGACGAATTCGTTAGACCAATAGTTGAAAGGAGTGGTCAGGTTGTCTGACAAACAGTTGACAGAATGACGAGGTTGTCTGACCATGAAAGGGAGCCTTGTTGCTTGAATGACAGCCTGTCATTACAAGAAGTAGTCCTGAAAACAGATCAGAAACACATCAATAACTATTACTTTCCCCTTCCTTGTGACATTAATTGTCAATGTTTGGATAATAATGTATGTTTATAAAAAGTTTACAAAAATAAATCGAAAGGTGCAAGACATGATTGTGACAGCGGAATGTAAGTCACGGGCGGAAGTAGCCATGCTACGTCATTAGTGACCGTCTCGTGTCATTCCGGCACAAGTGACGAATACATAAGTACTGCTTCAGGGCGACATGTAAAGGGAGGTAACTCGTTACTTGCCAAGGATTCAACAGAGGTATAGGTGGTAATTTCTGTCCGTCCATCAAGCTGGGAGGAGGTTGAAGTACTTGTAGGGGAAACTGAAAATGATTATTTGTGACGGATAATGTTACATAGTTACACAAACTAAGTATGACTGAGAAGAGCGGAACGGCGATCGTATTGAAAATATCGTCTGACATTGTTTCCATTTGCAAAGAATAAAATCAATCATGACGATTAACAAAGTCGCCATGTTACAATATAAAAACCGCAGAACAACATTTGGTTAACCGGACTCTAGTGGGAAATGTTGCACTTATATAACTACGATTAACATACCCCTGTTTTCTGTGAAGTCGTTCTTTGATTTCGTTGATGTGCTGTAAAATATAAAAAGAATCATCTTCTAAGTAGTTGCCACGAAGGCAAGATTTACCATACTCTCGATATGCATCCATCCATCCATCCATCCATCCATCTATCCATCCATCCATCCACACCCACCCTGACCTCAGTATATGTCTGACAAAACATGTCCAGTCTACTGACCTCAGTATATGTCTGACAAAATATGTCCAGTCTACAGACCTCAGCATGTGTCTGACAAAACATGTCCAGTCTACTGACCTCAGTGTATGTCTGACAAAACATCGCGACTACTGACCTCAGCATGTGTCTGACAAAACATATCCAGTCTACTGACCTCAGTGTATGTCTGACAAAATATGTCCAGTCTACTGACCTCAGTGTATGTCTGACAAAACATGTCCAGTCTACTAACCTCAGTGTATGTCTGACAAAACATCTCCAGTCTACTGACCTCAGCATGTGTCTGACAAAACATGTCCAGTCTACTGACCTCAGTGTATGTCTGACAAAACATCGCGTCTACTGACATCAGCATATGTTTGACAAAACATGTCCAGTCTACTGACATCAGCATATGTCTGACAAAACATGTCCAGTCTACTGACCTCAGTGTATGTCTGACAAAACATGTCCAGTCTACTGACATCAGCATATGTCTGACAAAACATGTCCAGTCTACTGACCTCATTGTATGTCTGACAAAACATCGCGACTACTGACCTCAGCATGTGTCTGACAAAACATGTCTAGTCTACTGACCTCAGTGTATGTCTGACAAAACATGTCCAGTCTACTGACCTCAGTGTATGTCTAACAAAACATGTCCAGTCTACTGACCTCAGCATGTGTCTGACAAAACATGTCCAGTCTACTGACCTCAGCATGTGTCTGACAAAACATGTCCAGTCTACTGACCTCAGTGTATGTCTGACAAAACATCTCCAGTCTACTGACCTCGTCATGTGTCTGACAAAACATGTCCAGTCTACTGAACTCAGTATATGTCTGACAAAACATGTCCAGTCTACTAACCTCAGCATATGTCTGATGATTATTGTAGTGACCGTCCCCGCCAGGGTGATCCCAAGAACTCCACAAGCTGCTCGCAGTGACCACACCTCCACAACGCCGTCATTATCTAGAGTGAGTGAGTGAGTGAGTGTGAGAATGTGCTGAGCATCACTATTTGTGTTAAATCTTGGAACTGAAAGAATGACACTCGAACGATTGGTCGCCGCCGCAAGTAAAGCTGTACACACCCCTCCTTGATTATAATGCCACCTTTCCAGCGGAAAACGTGGCATGTATAACAGACTAACAATAAAAAATAGTTAATAGATTAAAAATAGTTACTGAATAATCCATCATATGTCTCAAGACCAGTCTACATTCCCATCAAAACTTAACAGCTGTTTACCAAAGGACACCTAGTAGATTGTTTAAGTAAGAATACCACTGGACGCCCTTTACACTGTTAGCTCACCTGATCCGCCCTGCCGTGGCTGAGATTGGGATGATGGCGTTACCGTAGTAGATGTAGTCGTAGTTTGTTGGATAGTTTCAGCTGGTGGTGTTGAGTCTGTTGACTCATTATGTCCCAAGGAACAGTTTCGTAAATGTAACACCTTTATCACTGTCACACTAAAAGTCCCATCTGTCACTTTTATAACAATACTTACATTTCTATTTTCATCGTTTATTGATTTCGACTGAAGTATAAGACTCCCTGATGTTTCATTCACGCTGACGCTATCGATATCAGAATATATAATCCCGAAAGAGTACTCTCCCTTGGAGACATCGGCGTCAGTGACGTTGATGGAAGTAATGATGTCACCAACGTCCTTGTCACAGTCGACAACTACATCTTCTCTGACGTCTGTCTCTGGCGGATTGTCATTGACGTCATCAACTAATAAACGTATTGTTTTTTCAGATGATTTCGATGGGACACCGTTGTCAGTAACCATGACAACCAAATCAAAGTATTCCGTGCCCCCGGTGTCGGGGTCGCAGTCGAGGAGTAAGGCTGTTTGTAACAACCCCGACGTTGAATCTAGCGTGAAGAATGGTGGTGAGATCGACCCATTTGCTGAAACAAAGATACAGTGGTAAATAGGCTACATAGGCAACTCTAAATCGGTTCATCAACATCCCGCAGGGCACGCCAGAAACCTATAATTGTGGGTTCGAATCCCGGTCCGCCCAGATTATGTTTCTAGGCTTGTCAGAACCATACATTGGGTTTAGGGTTTCACCAAAGTTATAAACGTCTGAGACCTGCATCACTTTGGGCATTCCTTCCTCATCAAGCTGACATGCCCTGATGTAACTTGAATACTGTCAAAGCGGCGTTAAACCCAACTCACTCACCCATCTTAATACAATGAGTATTGAGTCCGTCAATGTGTGTGTCAGCATTCGACTATAGCGTGGTTATTCTTTAAGCTTACGACCGTCTCCTTGGTCGAGTAGTAGAGTGTCCGCCCGGAGAGCGGAAGGTCCGGGGTTCAATTCCCGCCCGCGTCATACCAAACGATCTTGAAGGTGGTGCTTGTTGTAACCCTGTCTGGCGCTCGGCTTTAAGGGGATTAAACAAGGACTGGTCGGCTTGGAGTCAATACACTGTCTGAGTGTGGTATTTATGTCAAACTGCAGCATGGCCTCTCAGTGAGCTAGCACTATAAAAATCAAATAACATATTTTCCTTTTCAAGTGAACTGACGTTGATATCGTGGCACATTTTCTGACCGATCTAAGTCTGAAAATGATGTCATTGAGGCAGATTGGAATTAGCAGCGGCTGAGAGTGTTATTTCATTAAAACACATGTTATCGAGTGAAATTGAAAAGAATGCAAGCGTGTTACTAAATGGGTTTTCTTTATTTGTTCTCAAGTGGAACAGTCTTGAACTGCCTATCTACGACCCTGTACCTAATGTTAGAGACACAACAGAGAAGGTCAGCGTCCCGTCGGCTCCAAGATCTTCGTCTGTCGCCGCCAGGGTCAGGATAGACATCCCCATCCCCACCGACTCCGATATCTCAACCGTAGCGACGGTCTCCCCGGGGAGTGGGTACACCCAGGACGGAGTGTGTTCGTTGTCAGGAACAATCTGAGGACAGTGACAGTCATAACATTCAGCAGTGTAATACGTTATCAATACTATACCATTCAGCAGGGTAACACCTAACAAATACTACATCATTCAGAAGGGTAACATCAAACAAATACTTCATCATTGAGCAGTGTAACACCTAACAAGTACTACATCATTCAGAAGGGTAACATCAAACAAATACTTCATCATTGAGCAGTGTAACACCTAACAAATACTACATCATTCAGAAGGGTAACACCTTACAAATACTTCAGCTATCAGCAGTGTAACACCTAACAAATACTACACCATTCAGCAGTGTAGCACCTAACAAATACTACATCATTCAGAAGGGTAACACCTAACAAATACTACATCATTCGGCAGGGTAACACCTAGCAAATACTTCATCATTCAGCAGTGTAACACCTAACAAATACTACATCATTCAGAAGGGTAACACCTAGCAAATACTTCATCATTCAGCAGTGTAACACCTAACAAATACTACATCATTCAGAAGGGTAACACCTTACAAATACTACAGCTATCAGCAGTGTAACACCTAACAAATACTACACCATTCAGCAGTGTAACACCTAACAAATACTACATCATTCAGAAGGGTAACACCTTACAAATACTACATCATTCAGAAGGGTAACACCTTACAAATACTACAGCTATCAGCAGTCTCGATGTAATACGTCTCTATGAATACATAAATCAAAACGAAACGAGATAAACATGAGGCCAAAATGAAACGCATCTATCAAATCAAAGGGGATATGTACAAATGTACGTGTTACCGACTCGCCCACTGTTCCCAACTGACGTTAGAATGACCTGATCTGTTTATATCTTCAGCACAAATGTCATCATTTGTAAAAAAGTATTAAGCTATTGTAGTTTTGCTCAAAGGCATAACTAGTAGCTCGTTCCTGATTTTACAGAAAATGTGAATAATATTATAATGAAGACATAATTACATACAAGTGCCCACTCACCTCCACTACAACGACACAAGTGGAACTCAGTGGCTGATCTGTGTCTGGCGTGTCTGTGGCTTGTATGGTCAAAAGGTAGCGGTGTCCACTCGGACCGGCCTCATAGTCAGCTCTCTGGCTCCGCCCACTCAATACACCCCCATCCAAGGTGAACACTGGATTAGACGAGTCATCACCCTCGATCAAGGTCAGCGTGACGTTACCGTTGCTGCCACTGTCAGCGTCTGTTACTGTCAATATCGCCACTATATATTCTGCAATTAGTCATCAACAACACTAATAGACGGACTCGTCTGCCACAGTATATCGCACGTGACAGCCAAAGTATATCGCACGTGACTGGAGATTATTCCATAACCCTTCCTAAATGTGCCTGTCACTTTGTTTATTGACCTGCCAACGAACGAAAAAGATGTTGCCAATGTATTTTCTTATGAACATATCAACACTTTATCCCAAAATCAGAAATATTTCAAGACCCTTGCAACGATTTAGGCATCCCTTTATTCTATCCAGTTTAGCATCGATAAAGACAGGTAATTTTAATAGGTAATGAGAATGTGATAATCTACTCACATACTGCCAACATGCTGACTAGAATCTCATTTTAATAGACAAACATGTTGGTACCGGATACCTTTTCTGCTCGGAAGCATCAAGGGGCACGTATAAAGGTGAGGTGAAATGGGGTTTAACGTCACGTCCAAGATTACTGCACTTATATAGCGACGTGCTTGCATGTGTGTTTGTGTGGCTGCTTGTACTAGTCCGGACTGATGCCGACTTATAGTGCTAGCTCACTGAGATACCATGCCGCAGTTTAACATGAATATCCCACTCAGACACAGTATACTGACTCCGAGACGACCAGTCCTTGTTTTAGCCCCCTAATGCCGAGCGCCAGACAGGGTAACAACAAGTACCATCTTTTAACCTCTTTTGGTATGACGCGGTCGGGGATCGAACCCCGGACCTTCCGCTCTCCGGGCGGACGCTCTACCACTAGACCACGGAGGCGGTCCCCACGTATAAAGAAGAACCGATGGAGTTGCCTACTCACCTGACGTGCCATTCTCTGTGATATTAGCATAGTAAACTGCCTCGGAGAAGTGAGGCGGGTTGTCGTTGATGTCGAGGACGGTGATGTTGAGGTTAACGGCTACCGACTGTCCACAGCTGTCCTGCACCCAGAGGAGGAGCTGGTCTAAATATTGCCGTCCACCCACCCCGTCTCTGTCCACCCGACCCCGAGACGTCAGCTGACCGGAAGTAGCGTTGATGTTGAAATACGAGGAGTCAGAACCTAGACATAAATTACTCTTCCAGTAACTGGCAGTTATGGTCATACAGTCTGAGCATATATAAGCTGTTCTAGTTATCGACAGATGTGGACATAAAATCTGAGCATTCTAGTAATTAAACTATCCTAGTGATTGTCATGTGTTGATAGGCGTTCACGAAAGATACGCTTTTCCTCTCCCCGTGAAGATCTTGGATAGAATTAGTCTTAAACTACCCATGCTTGTAAGACGCGACTAACGGGTTCTGGTGGTCACGCTCGCAGACTTGTCATTGCAACCCTATTGCGTAGATCGATGTTAATCATTGGATTATCTGGTTCCGCCTCGAATATTTACAGACCGGCGTTATATGGCTGGGATATTCCTGAGTAGCGGCATTAAACAACAAGAAAACGAACAAATTTAGTGATCGACACATGTTGACAAAGAGCATATTTAAGAAATAAAATTTTCTAAGATGCCGAATTTAAAATTAACTTTGTGTTTTATTAGAGATGGGTTTTAAAAGAAACCTGTAATGAGGGGTGCCTTAAATTGAAAATCCAAGAACAGGGCTAATTGACTAACTGTTATTATGAGTTGACGTGTTTTCTGTCGTAAAACACTGTTTGTGGCTGCTGAGGCACGGACAGTGGTTTGAATGTTTGGGAAAATCCCGCTGCATGAGAGATGGTTGACATCATATTGCCATATCTCTTCCCGGGTAAAAATATGCATATTGGACAAGTTTTAAGAAACTATTTCAACGACAACTGATGTGGATGCGCCATCTTGATTGACAGTAATGAAAGAACGATGTTACGAAGGATACATTAGATCATGGGGGAGGTAATTGCAACAGCGTCATGACGTCAGCCCATTATGTCCAAACTCAAAAAGCGTACTTCATCGCTGGTAAAAGTTGTTCCGGAAAGGTTAACGGGAACCTGTCTCTCTTGCTGTCATGTCAGACGGACTCCCTAGTTTGCCCAAGCAGTGTAGGGGAGTGATTGTGGGCTGTTTAATCAGGGTAACGGTATTCAATGCTTTAGTGGGGCTTTCAAAGAGTTTTATATTAGGCATGAGGAGGACATTTCAAAATTTGAGGCGTCAGCGACAAAAGATTGTGCAATTTCCCATTTTGAGTTCTGTCGTGTGTTTCCATATTTTTTCAGGTGGACTGGCCTTTGTACGGCCATCGGTTCTTCTTTATACGTGGGTGCTCGTGGGTTTCACCGAAGTGGTAAACACTCGAGACCTGCATCACTTCGGGCTTTTCCTCCCATATTAAGCTGACACGTCGTGATATAACTGGAACACTGTTAAAAGCGGCGTTAAACCCAACTCACTCACTCTTTATACGTGGGGACCACCTCCGTGGTCTAGTGGTAGAGCGTTCGCCCGGAGAACGGAAGGTCCGGGGTTCGATCCCCGGCCGCGTCATACCAAAAGACGTTAAAAGATGGTACTTGTTGTAACCCTGTCTGGCGGGGGCAGGATACGCTTACCTTTCGCGAACACCGGAAATCATCACCTTTGATAGCGATGCATAATCACATGCTGATGATATAATCGGAATCGTACAATGGACTCTTATTTCTTGTGATCATGGAAAGGATTTTGTCGTTTTTATTTGTAACAGGTGATGCTATCTCAGAGAAGCACAGCTGGTTTAAGTGCTATAAGGCTCTGTAATTCGCCGTGCAGAGTTGCGTCCCTTAATTAGCCGCGCTAGGGTAATCTGGTCGTGAGTTCGAATCCCAGATTCTCTCGGATTATGACCCTTGGTTTGTGAGACACACCCTTGATAGGGCTTATATGGTAGGCGTCTAGGACCAGGTTTTCCTGGGACTTCTCTTGACGCATCAGTGACAAAGTTGATGTCCGATGCAATTCCCTATTTTGACTTGTACCACATGTTCCCGTGCTTTTTCAGGTGAACAGTTGACTTGCCTTTGCATGTGTTTGTAACGGGTGCCACCGGTGGGGCAGGATACGTTCACCATTTCGCGAACACCTGGTGTCATTTCTATTTGATAGTGATTTATAAACACATGCTCGTGATATAGTCGGAATCGTACAATCGACTCTGCTTTATGCAGAGATTTCTTTTGGTATGGAAAGGGTTTTGTCGCTATATTGTCCATTGAACAGACACACCACGACATAGGTCAATATACTGATCAAAGCGGCGTCATGCTCAACCTAGTCACTCAATTACTTTGATATCCTCGGACCGAAGACAACAGACTTACCTGTTAGATTGAAAGTATACGCGTCGTTTTTATCTTTGTCGGTAACGGTGTACATCTGTCCAATCACAGATCCTTCTAAAAGTTCCTCTTGTATAGTCATGACGTCACTAAGATGAATATTTGGGACTTCGTCACACTCGTCAATGACGTCAACTGTCAGAGATACGTTTACTTCATTGTGACCATCGCTAACGCTGAAAAAATAGTTTCAACGAAAGGAATATTTTTTTTCTAAAACAAAGTTGGATGTTTTCATATACGTTAAATGCATGTAAGACGAACTGGGTTATAAAATTAGGGAAATAAAATATTACTATCTCACCTTAGTATCAGATGATGAAATGAAGCTTTTTCGAAATCCAGCTTTTTATGAATTTTCAGTTCGGTATGATCGATCTCAAACTGTCCAGTATCATCATTAAAGAGAGTTAATGTCAATTTATCGCCCTCAGGGTCGGAGACTTGGATGTTCAGAATTACCTCCCCTTGGGGCGTCCCCTCACTTACAGACACCAGGGTTACTCCGTCCTGTGATGGGTTGGAGATAACGGGACTTTCGTCAACCACGATCTTCCATTCTCCTGTCACACCATAGTAGGAGCTCACCGTGATGTAGTGAATCTCAAACGGGACAGGATCCGATAATGTCAGTATGACGTTCTTGCTGACGTCGCTTCCCGTACCCACTGTCACATTACCATTTCCGTTCCACGCCACCCACAATTCCTTGTACGAGGCACAGTCGAGGATACTCTCAAAATGGATCGGGTTGGCCCCACATCCAGAACAGCGGTCTCTGAGTCCGCTCCAGGTATTGGAGCCTGCGCCAAGAACTACGTCGTAATAGTTGCCTACGAGGTCTTTAGTCTCTGCTAATCTTATGATGGCGTCCTGACAAGTCTTCACCTCAAAGATCAAAGGGCTATTTCCGGTGACCTTGACCCCGAGATCGTTGAGGAAGTAGTTCATGTTGTCACTGGACGTTGTCTGGTAGACATATCTTCCTGTATACAGAAGACATTTGATACATATATGACGATTGGTTTCTTTCTTAAAATGGGGCACTGGTTTAGCTCAGTGGTAGTGCGTTAGCTTGTAACACCTGAGACCCCTGTTCGACCTCCCACATGGTAACAATGTGTGGAGCCAAATTCGTGTGATAGGACTTCGCCGTCAACCATCTACAGAGCCAAGCAACATGTAGCCTATGTGTCTTTTGACATGTGACTTTGTTCGAAATATGCCTGTTTACAATGGGTACTCGGTAGAATGAGATTGTAATGCAATTGCCTAACGCCTTAGATGCATCTTGGGATGTATACTCCCTAGGGAGCTGAGAATGAAAATCGAGTGCACACTGATCCACTGACCAGGGTAACAATGCATTTTAGCATGCTTTGGGGTGTGGAATTTTATCGCGTAACAAATAGGCACTTCATATAGCTAAAAGAGTAAAGCCTTGCTCACTCAGTCCTTCACACATTACCGTCCCCGTTTGTGACGGGTGCTCTCAGTGGGGCTAGATACTCATCTTTATGCGAACACCTGGTTTTATTACTGTTTGATGGTGATTCAGAGAATGGTGATCATGATATAGTCGGATTCGCGTTAGTGTATTTGACAGGGTGAGTTGGGTTTTAACGCCGCTTTTAACATTATTCCAGTTATATCGCGGCGTGTCAGCTTGATGTGGGAGGAAAGCCCGAAGTGATGCATGTCTCAGACGTTCACCCTTTCGGTGAAACCCACGAGCACGGGAATGGTGCTGACAAACCTAGAAACATAATTGGGGCGAACCGGGATTCGAACCCACAATCATAGGTTTCTTGCCCAAGGTACGCAAGTATTTGACAGGGGCCTCAATGGTGGTCTGTAAGAAGGACGTGACATGACCAGTATTTGTAGTCCGATTCTATTAACACGTGGCTAGTAATTGGATATTTGCGGATTGCGAATTTCGGATTGTAGGAGAGATTTCTTCTCGGAATTGTTCAGAGGACTCTGCTTTTAGCGGAAATACCTTATGATTACGGAATGACAAGATAGACACAATTTTATTGATAACAACTTCTTTAATACTTGACAACGGTATAAGGATCTATACCAAAACGTCGCTTTTTACAGTATTAAAGAAGTTGTTATCCATATAATTGTGTCTATCTTGTCATCCGCCAACTTCTAAGTAATGCCTATCAAACAAGTGATTACGGAATGGGTTTTTGACGTTTTATTCAACGTCCATCATGTGAAATCTGGTTAACTCAAACTGGACCTGGAACTCGATACAACTTTTGATATGATTATGTTCCTGATAAATCCATAGCGGCATCGTCATCTGACATTAACACCCTCATTGTATCGAACACCGGATAACTCGATACATATTCAGCGATCCTGAGAACTTGAAGTTACCGTGGCTTAACTGTAAACTTTGATTTAACTCAAGTTTTCAAATACAGTAGACTACGTTTATAACGAACTCAATTGACTACTTATATTAGTTCGTTATAACCGTAGTTCGTTTTATGCACATTTACAGCATAACTACAGCAAGTAGTCGGGACCAAAAAAGTAAGTTCGTCATATCCGTCATTTCGTTATAAGCGTGTTCATTATAACCGTAGTTTACTGTAATATATTAGAAGAACAGATGAAGTGAACTGGGTCTTTACGTCGCGTCAAAAATAATTGCGCTTATAAAGCGACATGCATGTGTGTGTGTGTGGCTGCTTGTCTTTAACCGAAATAAGGACGGTTTTATAGTGCCAGCGGGCGGTCGGGTAGCCTAGTGGTTATAGCGTTCGCTCGTCACGCCGAAGACCCGGGTTCGAATCCCGACATGGGTACAATGTGTGAAGCCCATTTCTGGTGTCCCCCGCCGTGATATTGCTGGAATATTGCTAAAAGCGGCGTAAAACCAAACTCACTCACTCACTCACTATAGTGCCAGCACACAACGTATTTTCGTATGCCTCGACCAGGGCACTGCCGACCTACCGCGCTCCGGGTAGACGCTCTCTATTAGGGGGACAGATTGGAGGTCGTTATAATAACTTGTGAATATTGGCATTAAATGATAGTGGATACTTTTCCGCAAATATTTGGGGTATATAATCTAACTAATCCTAAGATTACACAGCTTAGATGGGGTTGTGGCAAACGATACGTCTTCAAACATACGTGGCTTTACGTACGTACTTGCCTTGATTGATCTAGGCAGTGATATGGTGTTTATGCTAACAAACACATGGCTGTGTTGGTGTAATGTGAGTTACATGCTTGCTGTAAGCTACTCTTTGTTAGGAAACCTATTAACTTCCCCCTGAGTGTTCCACAAACATCCAATGTGATCAACCGTGCCCATGGCAACCAAAGTGACCGACTGTTCACATCAGGACATGTTGGGAACACCGACACTGTATTTAATTAGAATATAACGAACTTAAACGAGACCAGCGATGCCACCAACTACTGAGCCTAGCCGCGACAAAGAGGCAGTGAACATTCTCATTGTTTTCAGATATTCTAAAATTATCAGGACCTGGGGGTGGGGGTGGTGGTGTGTGTGTGTGTGTGTGTGTGTGTGTGTGTGTGTGTGTGTGTGTGTGTGTGTGTGTGTGTGTGTGTGTGTGTGTGTGTGTGTGTGTGTGTGTGTGTGTGTGTGTGTGTGCAATTTAGAGCGCAATATTTCAGTTATTGGAGGGATTTGGGAGGAGAGTCTGGGTGTTAACAAATACATCTTGATTCGAACGGCGATTATAAGTACAGCGAAACACAACGCATCAGTGGGGCGGTGGGGTAGCCTAGTGGTTAAAGTGTTCGCTCGTCACGCCGGAGACCCGGGTTCGATTCCCCACATGGGTACTACAATGTGTGAAGACCATTTCTGTAGTTCCCCGCCAGGATATTGCTGGAATATTGTTAAAAGCGGCGTAAAACCATAATCACTCACTTACAGCGCATCAGATGATTGTCCCCGGAATATTATTGAAAGTGGGGTAAATATCCCGCATTGTAAACAAGGTCTAAGTACAAATTATGTTTTCTGTTAATTGTTTGTTTGTTGTTGAACGCCGCACTCGACAATCCAGTGATTGACATCATGAGCATCGATCCACGCAATTGGTTGGTTGGTTGGTTTGTTGTTCAATGCCGCACTCAGCAATATTCCAGCTATATGACGGCGATCTGTAAATAATCGAGTCTGGACCAGACAATCCAGTGATTGACATCATGAACATCGATCCGCGCAATTGGGATCGATGACCCTTGAGCCTGACCACCCGATCTCGTTAGTCGACTCTTACGACAAGCATAGTCGCCTCCACGCAATTGGTATCGATGACATGCATCAACCAAGTCAGCGAGTCTGACCACCTGATCCCGTTAGTCGCCTCTTACGACAAGCATAGTCGCCTTTTGCGGCAAGCATGGGTTGCTGAAGACCTGATCTATTCCGAATCTTCACAGGTCTTTCTGTTAATTGATTTGTGTAGTGGAGATGGCTGTATGGGTGTACATGTTTGTTGAACGTGTAGTTATGCTGGACCATGTGGCACTAGCCTCACCTGCATTAGACATGGTTATTCCCATCAGTTGCAGCACGAGGAGTGACATCTCCACCTTGTAGGGGCGTGGCACACAGGGTAAGCCCTGGCATAAAGGAGACCGATAAGAGTAATAGACATTTGTACAAGAATAAGAAAGAGAAATTTGTTCTGCATGTTTAAGCTAAAGTACAACACTATATACACACACACATACATGCAACCATTAAATTATTCTTATGCATTTATGGTTATCCCAGCAAAACCACGTAAAGAGCATGACTTGTTTTACCAAAAGCAGTTTACATGGTTATCAATTACAAGATTGCCGGACTGATGGACTTGATAATGGTCCTCCGAGGCTCGTGATCTCTCAGTGTCAGTCACAGGGGATTCCTTAATAATTTGTATATGATTGACAGGCGGTCGGTAGATTTGTCCTATTTTTTCCGATTTGCGTTTCCATAGCAGCAATGAAAATGACAAAAAAAAAACGGGGAGGCGAAGTAGTATGCTACAAAATGATGCTCAGAAGACCTATCTGGAGTTATTGTTTTAGGTTTATCTTTAAACTCAGGGACTTACGGTTAATCTAAGAATTATTCTGAAAATTAATTTATGGTAACTTAAGTCGATAAAACTGTTTATGTTCAGAAAATGTATAAAGCAAAACCATGCTTAAAATGTGATAATTCGTGATATCTGAAATAAATTTAAAGTCAGTTGACTATTCCACTACTTCAGATTGGTTCTGTTCATGTGGATTTTAACAAATTGGTATAATGGTCATGGGCGAGCATATTCTATATAATGACCCGAGGCACTGCCTTCCTTGTGTTTAATTACACAAAGACCTATCTTAAACCTAATCAAATTGCTTCTCCCTAGTCAAATCCTTCATTGTGTTTAACTACATCAAAACCTATCTTCACCTAATCAAATTGCTTCTCCCTAGTCAAATCCATGATTGTGTTTAACTAGATCAAGACCTATCTTCACCTAATCAAATTGCTTCTCCCTAGTCAAATCCTTCATTGTGTTTAACTACATCAAGACCTATCTTCATCTAATCAAATGGCTTCGCACCAGTCAAATCCTTCATTGTGTTTAACTACATCAAGACCTATCTTCATCTTATCAAATTGCTTCTCACCAGTCAAATCCTTGATTGTTTTTAACTACATCAAGACCTATCTTCACCTAATCAAATGGCTTCTCACCAGTCAAAACCTTCATTGTGTTTAACTACATCAAGACCTATCTTGCTCTGACCAAATAACTTTAAAATGTGATAATTCGTGATATCTTCACCTAATCAAATGGCTTCTCCCTAGTCAAACCCTACATTGTGTTTAACTACATCAAGACCTATCTTCACCTAATCAAATGGCTTCTCCCTAGTCAAATCCATGATTTTTTATAACTACATCAAGACCTATCTTCACCTAATCAAATGGCTTCTCACCAGTCAAATCCTTCATTGTGTTTAACTACATCAAGACCTATCTTCACCTAATCAAATGGCTTCGCACCAGTCAAATCCTTCATTGTGTTTAACTACATCAAGACCTATCTTCACCTAATCAAATGACTTCTCCCTAGTCAAACCCTACATTGTGTTTAACTATAAAAAGACTTATCTTCACCTAATCAAATGTCTTCTCCCGAGTCAAACCCTACATTGTGTTTAACTATATCAAGACTTATCTTCACCTAATCAAATGGCTTCTCCCCAGTCAAAACCTACATTGTGTTTAACTATATCAAGACCTTTCTTCACCTAACCAAATTGCTTCTCCCTAGTCAAATCCTTGATTGTGTTTAACTACATCAAGACCTATCTTCACCTCATCAAATGGCTTCGCATCAGTCAAATCCTTCATTTTGTTTAACTACATCGAGACCTATCTTCACCTAATCAAATGGCTTCTCCCTAGTCAAATCCTTGATTGTGTTTAACTACATCAAGACCTATCTTCACCTAATCAAATGGCTTCTCACCAGTCAAATCCTTCATTGTGTTTAACTACATCAAGACCTATCTTGCTCTGACCAAATGACTTTAAAATGTGATAATTCGTGATATCTTCACCTAATCAAATGGCTTCTCCCCAGTCAAATCCTTCATTGTGTTTAACTACACCAAGACCTATCTTCACCTAATCAAATGGCTTCTCCCGAGTCAAACCCTACATTGTGTTTAACTATATCAAGACCTATCTTCACCTAATCAAATTGCTTCTCCCTAGTCAAATCCTTGATTGTGTTTAACTACATCAAGACCTATCTTGCTCTGACCAAATGACTTTAAAATGTGATAATTCGTGATATCTTCACCTAATCAAATGGCTCCTCCCCAGTCAAATCCTTCATTGTGTTTAACTACATCAAGACCTATCTTCACCTAATCAAATGGCTTCTCCTTAGTCAAATCCTTCATTGTGTTTAACTACATCAAGACCTATCTTCACCTAATCAAATGGTTTTCCCCGAGTGAAATTCTTCAATGTGTTTAACTACATTAAGACCTATCTTGCTCTGACCAAATGACTTTAAAATGTGATAATTCGTGATATCTTCACCTAATCAAATGGCTTCTCCCCAGTCAAATTCTTCATTGTGTTTAACTACATCAAGACCTATCTTGCTCTGACCAAATGACTTGACCTTATTCACTGCCTTCATTGTGTTTAACAACATCAAGACATATCTTGCCCTGAACAGTTGTGGTGAGGGAGGGGGTGGAATAGAGGAATAGTTTTCCCCGGGTGCAGTTGAGGCGCAATTTTTCCGGAGATGCATAGGTAAAATGGGCAAATGCCTACATTACATATTACATGTGGAACAAACCAACGATAATAACTGTGACGTTTCCGTGATAAGCATTTATCAAGTATTGTCAACAAAAATATTTGTTCATGAGAAAGGGAAACTGTTTCTTGAGATGTGCATGTATTAAATGTACTTCACCTGTGTGTTCAGCATCCCCCCTGGTATGTGCGTAAGTCTCATCCTGGTGTTCTCCCACCGTCCCTTCATCACTAACTCTGACTTGGGCAATCTCCCACTCCTTTATAACCAACAAGGACGCCATTGTAATTCAAGGTCAGGGGTTAAGACGCAGCATAAGTCGTCATGCAATCTGAAAGCGGCGAAGGTTGGTCGCAAGAGGATCTTGTCTACCAGCGACATTGGATCTGCCCGAGAACAATGCTCAGCCATTGTGGTGAGTACTTGAAGAATCGGAGAGGTTCGACTGAACCCCATGTACTGCCAGTCATCCGTGTAGAGTTAAACCCCGGTTACACACCGCGATGTCGTGCTGGATAAAAACAGGATATCTCGCCAATCAAAATTGGTGCAACAGATCTGTTCCGATATTATGCAGCTGATTCATGTTAGTCGGTGCGAAGTGTTCATCAGGTGAATCATCTCCACCTCAGCGGCCTTGTGGATAGAACGTCAGCCGGGAGAGCGAAAGGTCGGTGGTTCTATCTCCGGCCGCGTCATACGTTAAAAGAAGGTACTTGTTGTTACCCTACCTTGAATTCGGCTTTAAGGGGATAAAACAAGGCTCGGTAGCCATAGAGTCAGTATACAATGCCTGAGAGGGGCATCCATGTTTAACTGCGGTATTGTATCTCAGTTGACCTGCACCAGAAAACCGACAAAAGTCCAGGCTAGTACAAGGAGCCACACATGCACGCATTCACGCACCCACCCTCGCACACTCAAACACATGCCTCATTTATCTCAGTGTGCATGAAGCGCTGTGCATAATTAACCATTTATTGCGCTGCTCTCTAGACTGTTTCTCCTCAGTCTATGCCCATATCCTACCCTGCATGACTTAATCTATATCGTTAGGTTGTACTCGTGAATATAGCTATTAACATAGCTCGAGTTACTGAACATGCTTCTGTCTTGAACCTGCTCTGTTGATGGATGACATTACAAAACAAATAAAAACTTTATACGATATTTAGTCCTTGTTAACGGGCCCAATAGAGTTGAAATGAGTGGAATTTTTCTATGAATTTCAATAACAACATAGATTTGTCTGGTCTATAAAACACGTACTGACCTCATAAGAAATCTATGTTAATTTGTATTTTATCGCTCATGTTTGATGTCCCCGATGAATATGGATAACAGAGCACCTAGATGTGTCAGTTGTTGCATGTGCGCGAATGAGTGTGGAATTAATGACAATGGTATGTTCACCTGTCAAAAGCTTGGCACATTTATCCACTGTGACTCATCCTACTTAGACAATGAAATAAACATGACGGTAGTCTGAGAAGGTTTCAAGTGGGCATACATGTATGTGTTACGTACGGGCAGACTCAATGTCCTTGTTGCCGTGTGGGGCAGGTAGCGTCTCTCTCCGTGCCCCTCATAACGAGGCTGCGCATTTTCTGTGTAGTCTGGCTCGCTAACTGTTCAGCTGGAGAGCCATCGGAGGCCTCCTTCAGACACGAGATGGTTGTGGGATTGATACACGTACTCAAACGAGGATATGCAATCTGAAAATGAAATATTTTTTCTCATTTTTTTTGTACTGATAAACTTCTGTGACCTTCAGTGATGTGCTTAATCTCATTCCAATAACATGCAAACACTGCTCTTCCAAATCCCAGACTCGTTCCGTCCCGTCCGAATAAATATCAAACCTCCAAACAGAGTTGTTGAATCTTTATTGCTTTTTACAGATTATTCATGTCTGCCTCATGCAGAAATTCTGCGCTTCTTCCTATAGAGTCTTATTACGTGCATTGAAGGATACGTATCTTATTTATCTAGTCTTCCGTGTGACTTCCATTTCACGGGACATTATACGATATGAATTACCCGAGATTGCTCGATGGGAGTTCTGTTAAACCAATTGTGAGTCTTCACAACACCCTGAAAATCCACGCCATCATGTCACGACTTCACACAAACACACATGTTACTTTGGAAGGTACTACACTTTATATACTCAGTGGCAGTTGGTTTCCCTCCGATCATCAGTATGTTTGAGTTACTAAGAGGGCTGGCTGAAAAGTTCTAAGCCTAAGTGGGATATCTCAATCGGATTGAAACAAACTTTTGCCACCAACAAGTACAATCATTTAATGAATCATAGACATAAAAACTGCAACTGTAGTGTTATTATTGTCTTTGTACCAGACCATCTTGTGAACCTACCCATTGAAATCACCAGAAATGGACAAAACTGGCTATAGGGCAGTCATCAAGTACCTGAAACTGAAAGGGCTAACTCCAACACAGATACATGCTGACATGGTCTCCACTTTAGGGGATGATGCCCCTTTCTTTTCCACTGTAAAGACGTGGGCTGCGGAATTCAAGCGTGGCAGAAAGAGCCTTGACGATGACCCGCGTCCAGGAAGGCCTTCAACAGCAACCATTCCGGAAAACATTACCCGGGTGCATTACATGGCTGATCGACGATTGACCACTCAACATATTGCCAGTGTTGTGGGCATCTCTCATGAGAGGGTTGAGTACATTATCACCAACCAGTTGGGAATGACAAAAGTTTCTGCAAGATGGGTGCCAAAGCTCTTGACAGCGGATCAGAAAGGTGTCAGATTCCTGACGTCCCGTGACAATTTATGCCGTTTTGAAGCAGATCCCGATGATTTTTTGGCCCGATTTGTATTCATGGATGAGACCTGGATTCATCACTTTCAACCAAAATCCAAAATTCAGTCTAAACAACGGAAGCATCCGGAATCACCAGCCCCCCAAAAAGCCAAGTCGGTTCATTCTGCTCGAAAGGTGATGGCTTCAGTCTTTTAGGATTCCAAGGGGATTCTGCTGATTGACTATCTTGAAAAAGGCCAGACTATCAATGGAAGATATTATGCTGACCTACTGAGACAGTTGCGTGAAGCTATCAAAGCTAAAGCTAAACTACGGGGAATGCTCACTAAAGGAGTCCTGTTCCACCAAGACAATGCTCCTGTTCACAAATCGGTGGTTGCCATGTCAGCGATCCATGATTGTGGCTTCGAACTCATTGACCATCCCCCTTATTCACCCGATTTGCGCCATTTTCCTAGTAATGATGACGTCATTTCCGCTGTGAATGACTTTTTAGGGTGGCTGAAGAAAATTTCTTCTTGACCGGCATCGCTGGCAAAAGTGTGCACGGGTCTTTCACAGTTAGGCTTAGAACTTTTCAGCCAGCCCTCGCAAGTATTATAACCCCGACCTAAAAGGGCGGCGGTACATAGTTATACCAAGGACTTCCGTCCGTCCTTCCGAGTACATATGTTTGTGCGACCTATAACTTGAAAACTACTACATAGATTCTTTTTCAAAATTGTTGAATTGAACACTTTCTATACCACTAGGAGAGGTGCAGTGCGAAGTTTGATTTGGATATTTTGATTTTACTTAAACTTTGTAAGAGATATATATCTTTAATATTACTGCATGGATTTTTTCCAGATTTTGCGAACAGTTTTGTCAGTAATAGAAGAGGTGCAGTGCAAAGTTTGCGCTTGATAAGTGGATTTTCTGAGAAAGACTGACATTTTGAACTTTTTTTTAACATTTGTGTTACCTATTACTTGAAAACTGCTTCATCCATACTTATACCTGTTGGAGAGGTGCAGTCCAAAGTTTGATTTTGATGTGTGTATTTTATTAAAATATATGCTTTTTTCATGTTTTGAACTTAGAAATATGTTGGCGTCGAAGTCGGGGGTATTAGTGAGCGCTTCTCACTTATTTTACCTTGTTTTGGTTTGAAATTTAACAAAATGTAATAGAAAACTTTAAATATTTAAGGATAAGTATAGGTATTTACCACAGGCACACATACCTTCAGACGGGAAGTCCTGAACATCCTCTGATGGTTGGTCTCGCATTGGTTTCTTGCAGTTTCTTTCCGTGTGTTGATTGGTTATTAATATAGTTGTTGATTTATAGTGAGTATGGGTTTACGCCGCTTTTAGCAATATTCCAGCAATATCACGGCGAGGATACCGGAAAACAGGCTTCACACATTGTACCCATGTGGTGAATCGAGGCCGGGTCTTCGCCGTGACGAGCAAACGCTTTAACCGCTACAGGTAATCAATCAATCAATCAATCAATCAATCAACCAACCAACCAACCAACCAACCAACCAACCAACCAACCAACCAACCAACCAACGAACGAACGAACGAACGAACGAACGAACGAACGAATGAATGAATGAATGAATGAATGAATGAATGAATTTAAGGTTAAACTACAGCGTATGTTTGTGACATGCGACAAGCGACTTGCAACGGGTGGTGTAAACGGGACTGAGGGCTGCGTGTTTAGCTTGAACTGTATGTCAGCACGATGTATCTACCTCTAACTTGTCTACAGTCAGTGTGACAGCATGCACGGGTCGGGTGCTGCCTGACAAACATGTGCCTTGATTTAATAGTATCTGATCAAAGTAAATCGTAATACTATCCCGCTTTGTACGGACAATTAGGCAATGTGTTAATACAGCTGTCCGTAACAAGGCGATTGGAGTTTGATATACGGGTGGCTGGTATGTAGTGGGTACGTGACACCCGCAGATACATCACACAGCTACACGAGGGTGACGCGAAACTGACGGAGCTGCTTAATACCCGCCCAGCGATGTGTGTAAGGAGGAGAATAGCGCTGACTTGTGTGTCAGGAGTCACACGTTACATGTAATGGAAGCCTTTCTTGAAGCATTCTGTTACACCGTCTGCCGTCAGATACTGTTAGTCTGTACGCTATCACAAACGGGGTTCTATCTAATGCATAGGTTGATGTTCTGGTACGGGTATGTAGTATGTGTACATTCAACAGTAACATATGATTTGATCATGCGTCGATGTGTTGTTTGAAACTACATTAAAGTGTGCTTGTGTGTGGGTGTGCGTGCGTATGTTTGTAGGTTTAGGTGTAGGTGTAAGTGTACTGGTAGTGGTAGTTTTAGGTGTAGGTGTAGGTGTAGGTGTTGGTACATGTGTAGGTGTAAGTGTTGGTATATGTGTATGTGTATGTGTTTGTGAATGTGTAGGTGTAGGTGTAGGTGTAGGTGTAGGTGTAGGTGTAAGTGT